TACTGTGATTCCCTTTACCACAGTCCTCCAGCTTGTTCCCTGCCCCAGGGCCTTTACGGGAACGCCCTTGCCTCCTGCCTCCATGGCTAGCTCCCTCACCCCATTCTACTCTCTGTTCAAGTGTTGCCCCCTCAAAAAGTATTTTCCTAACCACCCTGAAGCAGTCCCTTTCCCACTCTCAGTTATTCTCTACGCTGTTATCCTCTTGTGTTTTATCACTATGAAATTTTCTGATTTGTTTACTTGTTTTTATCTCTTATCAACTAAAATGTAAATTCCATGAGGGCATAAAATCTAGTGTAACTTGTCCAACATCNCTTATCAACTAAAATGTAAATTCCATGAGGGCATAAAATCTAGTGTAACTTGTCCAACATCTTATCTGTAAAGCCTAGAACAGTGCCTGGTGCTCTAAATATTTGTTGAATGAGTGAAAGAGTAGATGTAACAGCATTCTCAAACTTAGAGGACTGTCATGTGGACAAATAAATTCATTTATTCATCAAAAAAACATTTATGGGGTAACAAATATTCAGTCATTTAATAAGTAATTACTGGGAAACTATTGTATGCTAGGCACTGGGTTTAAGAGACAAAAATAGAGACACCATCCCCACCCTTAAGGAACTCATAGTGTTGTGGTCAATGTGGAGAAATGTGGAAAGAATCAAGGGATGTGAGAATCAACAGGACATAAAGACTAATTGGTCTTGGGAGGTAAAGGAGAGAGAAGGTGAGCCCCAGGTTGTAAGCTTGGGCAGATGAGGAAATGCTTGTTGCCATTCTGTGTTCTGCAAGGAACCTCAGGGGGTAAGGGGAGAAGATCAGCTTTATTATTTTTATTTTTTCCTTTTTGTCTTTTTTACTGACCGGTAACGGGATCGCAACCCTCGGTGTCGTGCCTGTACCAGGGACCGGCAACGGGACCGCAACCGTCAATGTCGCGCCCGCACCACGCTCAGCCAGTGAGCGGGAACCGGTCTCCACATGGGATCTGAACCCTCAGCGGGAGCGCCGCCACGCTCCCAAGCGGTGCACTCTCCAGTGCGCCACCAGGCCGGCCCGAGAAGATCAGCTTTAAAATGTTGAGCTGTGGAATGTCCAAGTAGGGACATCCAGCAAGGATTTTGATATCCGAGTCTGGAGCTTGGGAGAAAAGTCTGGATGGAAGTACAGATTTGATAAACCATAGGCAATGAGTGATGTTTCAAGTTATGGGAGATAAACCAGGGGGATAGAGTAAGGAGAAAACCAAGATTTGAGGATGGTCAGAAGTAAAACCTGCAGAGACACTAAAAAGGAGAAACCAAAATAATGAAAACGAAAGAACACTTTGTCATGTTAGCTGAGGAGGACAGTGCCTCATATTTTAGAAACACCATGTGAGATGAGGACTGAAAGGTATTTATTGAACTTGGTGACAAAGCAGTCCTTGGGAATCCTTTCTAGAGCCATTGGCATAGGGTGGCATGGCTGGGCACAATATTTCTGTGCTGAGGAGGGGAGCAAAGACTAGGAAATGGAGAGAGATGGAGAAAACTCTCACAAGGTGCTCGGCACTGAAGGGAAAGAGAGAGAAGGGGAGCTGAAGATGCTGGCTAGAAAAACACATTCAGCGACTCTGAAGAACAGAACGAGGATCTGGAGTGGAACTATTGAGAGGCAGCCTTGGCTTAATACAAAACCAAACTTTCTAACCATTAGAGTTGTTCAAATATGGATTAGGCTGCCTCTAGAAGAACTGAGCTCTTGATCGCTGGAAGTATGGAAGTATTTATAGCCTGAATGTTATATTAGAAAAGACTAAGACGTTAAATCAGTCATCAAGGCTTCCACCTTAAGAAACTAGAGAAAGAAGAGCAAATTAAACCCAA